GAATGAGGCATCTACTGGAGATATGACACTCTATATGAAGGGTGTTAAATGTGGGAACTAAATAACATAAAAGAAACACAATACATGTAAAACCATCTTGGTTTCTCTTCATAATGAATGGATATGTAAATGAGACTTGGAGGCAGCATAAAAACTCTAAAGATCAGTGGGAGAATCAAAATTTTGATCTTTAGAATGATAGGACGAACGAGAAAATTTTGTCATGGTGTGAGAAAGGGAGAATCCAAGGGCCGAAGAGATTGACTCTTCGTTGAAATGTAAAACCAATGACCAATAGATTCTCCATCAATTGTGTGTTCTTCTAAGATCACAAAAGTTCGTTAGTAAACAAAAGAAAGGATTAAGAAAGCCCAAGTATGACACTATGATTTTGAGGTGTGAAATCCATTTTTACATGGTAAGGGCATACATAGAAAGATGATTCATTACTTTCTTTTATGTCCATTATACTTTTTTTTATTGTATCTTGGTTGTTTGTTTATAAATATGTATGAAGTATATGGACATTAGTTGATAATTGCTAACAAATTTGAAAGAACCCATTTTTTAATACCCTTTGTTTCTATGCCTCCTTATGCTTGTGTGTAAACTATTTAAGGTCACAAAACACAAGGAGAAGTGGTCTGATCAAGGTCCATGTACCTAAGTATCAAACACAAAAGATGGGTATGGCTCATTCAAATATGTAGCACGAAAGAAGTGTTTTGATGGAACTTGGTCTTGCTGACCATCCTCTAAATAATGTCTGGTGATAATGGTGTCTTGCATGTGATGAAGATCTCATGTTAAAGACTCTAAATATTTTTCAAGAAAAATATGTGTATTTTGGATATTTGTCAATTTTTTATAAACACTTTTTTAGTTGTGTTTTGTTTAGATAAAAATTATGGATAGACTTTATGATTTGTTTTATGGCTATAACATAACTTGGCAAGTAATTAAAAGTGTATGTTTTTTATTCTTTTTAAAAGCTAAGAATGTTCTTTTGAAAATCAAATTGGACCTTTTATGTTGAAAAACCTAGATCTATGGATATAGTTTTGAAAAAATCCCATAGTCTTGCTAGGTCCACTAAGTATTTATAGAAAATCTTTTTTAAAAATATAACAAGTCAAGAGTTTTTTATGTAAAGAAAAACATTATGTTTTGAAAATATTTTATATACATGTGAGAAAGTATCTTTTATTTATACAATGTTTTTAAATACACATGTTTTCATAGTACCGATTATGTGACATTTTGTTAGTTCTTTTGAATCTTCGATTATCTAAGATCACGAATCATAGGGTATGTCATAGGATGGCCATCTTGCTAGACTTCCTTAACATTTGTAGTGTTGATAAAATAACTTGGTTTGTATGGATTTGCAACCAAGAGACTGACGTGGTTGAACCTTTGTAGTTCAAAAAAATAGTTTTTGCATTTTGTGAAATCAAACAAGCATTGAGTTACTATTTGGTATAAGGCTTGCTATACTACCTAATGATATAGGCATGGGAATGCTGAGATAATATTTTTTTATGCATTATGTTTGAGTGGGAGCTATTTATAATCCCACGATTAGTTTTAGTTGCTTGGATATTCAGAAATACAGGTATCATATTATGAAATATCCAGATAGCTTAACATTCCAGTAGGAGTACCTGCCTATGTTCCGGGGGCCAACTGAAACAACACACTATAATGTTGTCCACCCAAGAAATCCAGATATATGGTGTTATTTGTATGATACGACCTTATGCGATGAGGGTATGTGATGATTTTCAATAACAAGGAGTCCTTGATTCGCGATGCGACATGAAAAGATAGGCTACGACCACGTTCGTGATGTAATCCGAGTAGCATAGAGAAAGATGCTTCACAACTCCCTTAGAAGCTGCATCCATAAATCATTTGTAAAAGATTGATGACGAAAGAGCTCGCCAGGGTTAATACAATGACAGAGAATAAGTGAGAAATGCTTGAGAGAGTGATTGCAATTGAGGGATGAGAATGTGAGGAAGAGAGATTGTAAGACCCTCAAATGCCAAGTAGAAGATGTTGGGTGTCTGTGGCCATTAATGCTTTATGAGAGCTTGTAACTAATATCCTGATATAATAGAACATAAACTTAGTGGGAGTACTGTTCTTAGTGGACTATACTAGGCAAATGTCATTTGTCGTTTCTCAAACTTGGCTTGACACGCTAGGTCAGTCGAGTTGCAAAACTCATGCTACTTGGGTATAAAACTAAACCGATATGGGTTTTGTGGGTCATCCATTGTGATGTTGGAGTTGTCTAGATGAGTGAGCCGAAGAACTATGTGACCCTTATGTGTAATGGCTGGCTTTTATAGATAAGGGCCAAAGCCTAATCACTGAACCATCATACGATATGTACATATGATAACCGTACTAGGAACAAGAACAACGTTTCAGGGGGAAACATGTACATGTGCAGGAGATTACTCCTATGTACCATAGAGCATAGGTTGTATCAGGTCTCGGTAACCTTAGCTCCTATATAAGGAAAACCTATAGTCCATAGACTAGGATCGTGTCCCCTTGCCTATTGATTGACTTTGACGGCTCAATCATGAACCCCTGCGGTGGTCTATGGGTCATGGGAACCGTTGGGTCAATTTGAGAAAAAAATGTGGATTATAGTCCACATTAGGAAGTGGAGTGCTCTAGCGATTTCATAGTTCCTAGGCATTGTCGGATCCGATTCCCATCAAAATTATTTAGTTTCAATTATTTTGAGATTTTATGATTTTTAGATTAATTATTTAAATTTTTATGAGTCTCTTAATATTTTAATTTATAAAATAGATTTATAAAGTTAGAGATATTTAAGTTTCAGTATTTTAAATATTTAGAAGAAAATAAAAATTATTTCTAAATATCAAAAAATTATTTGATAGTTTCGATGCTAAAGTACTTTCTAGATGAGAAAATTTGTTTCATGCATGCTGAACCGCAGTTCTACAATATGTGGTCCCAAGGTATTAATTGAAACTAACGGTCATAAGGTTTTTTTAATAGAATTATTATTTTTAATTTTAAAAATTTATTTATTTATTCATATTCATGATCTCTATATTAGGGATTACATGTCCTTAACAATTAAGTAAAAAATCCATCTCAAAAATAGATTTTAAGAGGTGACTCATTTTTATATGGACACATAGAAATCGTGTCCTTCTTAAAAACCATGCTGTAACATTTACTTTTTCTTTTCCACTTCCTCTCTCTCCCACCCCACCCCACCACGCCCCGCCCCGCCCCGCCCCACCCCGCCCCCTCTCCCTCTCCCTCTCTAAACTTGAGTGTTGGCTATAAGTTTTAGAGCAAATTATGTATGGACATTAGTAAGGGGAGTCAATTACTATTTGGTATCTCATTTGTCCAAAATTACGAATACCAACTCTCACGCCATAGACTTTTTTTTCCCCTAAGCCCCCCCCCGTCTCTGAATGCAAACATTGAATGGGGGATTATTATTTTATACACTCATGGGAGAGAGAAGCAAGAAGATAGAGTAGAGAGAGGATGAACTGTAAAAGGCTTCCAATACCCATGTAAAATAGAGAGAGAGCTAGAGAGAGAGAGGCGGCAATGGGTCATTTGCATTTTGTAATAACCATGTTTCTTCCATGAAAACCCCTTCAATTGCTCTGATGATTTCTATCCTCTTTCCAAAATTTCCCTCTGTTTAGGTTCCTCTCTCTGATATCAACCTCAATGAATCAAAGTTTGAATGGGCTTTTTGAAGTGGAGTTTTAGAGTGAGTTATTTCAAAAGTTAGAGCAACATTAGACCAGAGAAGAGTGTAGTGGAGAGCTTTTTTAGAAGGAGACAGTTGCAAGAAAGAGCTAGAGATATGGGGAGAGAGGGATTTGTAAAGAGATAGTGTAGGAGAGAGAATCTTTTCTAGAATGCTTTTTCAGAGAGAGTAGCAAGAAAGCGCGAGAGATAAAAAGAGATATGGGGGAGAAGGATTTGCAAAGAGAGTGCAGGAGAGAGAGAGATTTGGGGGTCGAGGGGTTTGCAGATAGAGAGTGCAGGGGAGTGACAGAGAGGACAATGGGTTTAAAGAGAGGAGAGAGCTCCTAGGCGAATAGCAGAGAAAGCTCTTAGAGGGGTGGTTTTGCATTGCCTACATGAGACCAACTTATTAATAAATAAATAAAAAAAAAAAAAAAAAGAAAAGAAAAGAAAAGGTCATACTCGTAATTTCGGACAAATGACTCCCTATTTGGTAATTGACCAAAAATACTCTAAAACTTTTAAGTGCTTTCTATCTTCTTGCTCTTTTTGTATTGGACACGGTTTGTATGAATCTCTGGACTCATAAGTAAAAATAAAAGGCCTTAGTAATCCATTTTGAAAAAGACGCGGTTTCTATATAGAAATATGGGCCTATTAATAAATCTATTTTTTAGATGGATTTTAAGATTTAATTTATAAGAATATGTAATCTCTAACATGGAGGTCATGAATATGAAAAAAATAAATAAATTTTAAAAACTAAAAATAATAATTCCAGTAAGAAAACATTTGGACCGTTAATTTCCATTGTTTTAGATTTAATTTATAAGAATATGTAATCTCTAACATGGAGGTCATGAATATGAAAAAAATAAATAAATTTTAAAAACTAAAAATAATAATTCCAGTAAGAAAACATTTGGACCGTTAATTTCCATTGTTTTCGATGAAACACCTACTTGTATCTATTTTTAAGATGGATGCTTTAATTTTCTAGATGCAGTCCAGGCTGAATGAAACAATTTTCCTTTTAAAAATATATTTGACCCACTTTTAAAGAATATATGATCCTGGAGATGAATAATGAGGAGGTGGGAAAAAAGTGGAATATTTGAGCTAGTGATTTTGCTTTTATGGGAGGGCCATCAATTTATATCATCGTCGAATGGATGGAATATGCCTCGGGGGAATGTAGAAATACATCCACGGACGCATACAACGCTTTTCTTTTTGTTTTGAGTGGGTTCCGATGCTTGATTCGGGGCGTCAGATGCTTGATTCGGTTCGCCCTTCTCACTCTGTCAGCTTACCCACTCTCATTATTGAGCAGAAAAGGATCGGTTATTTACATTCATCCCCAATCTTATGAAAATCCAACGCCTGCATATCATCACTCCAAAATTCCAAAACCGCAATGATTCCAGCGCTCCAAGACATCTCTTTCTCTCTCTTCCCTATAACCCACATTTTCTTTCTCTACCATGGCCCTCCTCATCTCTCAAACTCTTCATGCTGACCCCAAAACCCACCATATTTGGTCCTTCCAAGCTGAGATCCTGAAACCCAATTCAGTTTACAATAAACCCATAAGAGAGTCATTGACTCTTTGTAGGTTGAAACCCAGTTCAGTTTACCTTAAACCCATAGGAGAATCAGGGCCTTTGACTTCAAGAAGGGCTTTGAATTTCTCTGGTGTTGCAAATATTGGTGTTCTTGGTCCAGTTATTAAGCCTATGATGAGTGGGAGTGAGGTTTGTAGAAGCAATGAGAGCATGGATGGAGGGTACATGGAAACAGAGGCTATGTTAAACCATGGGTCACTGGGTACCAGAAAAGCTGCTTGGATTGATAGATGGGAATCGGCCGTAAACAGTTCGGTTAGTAGATTATTGTTTTTGTTTGCTCTTTATCTGAAAATTGTGTTTTTCTTTGGGTTGGGTTGGTAGTTACACTTTGATGCGGTGCGGAGAGTGTTTCTATGATGAGGCTTCTTTTCTGTGGTTGTTAAGGAGTTTAATTTAATGTTGTTGAGATTGGCTTTTTTTTCATCTCAATCTTTGCTTTCAACTGGATATCCAGTCTAAAAATTTATATGCTAGAATTTGTGACAGCTGTTTAATTGGGCTTTGAGTGTAGCTATGAAACACCCTCTTGCTACCATGCGGATAACAGAGTCTCATGTGTGACCTTGAAACTGAATCTCAAACACTTTGTGTGTGCGGACAAAGAAGTGGGAACAACAACTGCAATGAAAACAAGAAAACAATCACCAAATCTCTAAACTGAGATCTAAGGCCAAGAAGAGCCATGACTGGTTTGGGGCTCTCTCTTTCATAAATACTTGCCGCACTTCCTCTTGCTATTTCTCTCACTTGCCGTTCCGTGTTCTTCGATGTGTCTCTCTCAAGAGACTCTCTACTCTTCCAGTTTCTCTCTTGGAACGCCCAATGACGCCCCTCAAGTCATTATACTATTGTTACTAACACTTAGCCATGTAATGTCACCTTGTAAATGCTCTTTTAAATAATGTCATAGGTCCCCTTTCTTTCTTAAAATGACGTTGGGGTCCTCATGGGTTGCGATCCCCAAAAGTGAAACCGTGTTAGCCGTTATCAGTTCTATCTCTATCAGGCTATCTAGCACTCCCTGATTGTTATTCCTCCATTATGTCTTTAATTATTTTATTGTGGGAATAGATTAATAGCTAAGTGTAATACATATTTTCAGACTCTGCAAGTTGATGAAGACTATCCAAGCAAATGGGACTTGTTCCTGAGCTTGCTAAGAATGTAAGATTAGATTTTACCAAGTGGAAGCTGAGAAAACTTTGCGAGAAAAAAAATATAAAATTTTTCACGATTATGACAGAATTCCTGTCATGTGTATGTGAAGAAATAACCCTTTAAATCATTGAAAAATTAGTAAACATCTTGTGACCTCAAATGTTTTTTGTGGAGCCCCAATATTTCCGAGTTCTATACTTTTAGGATTCATAATTATCAGGATATAGGTATTCTGCTACATAATGATGCCTTTCATTCGAGTTTCATGCTGGTCATAAGTAAGACCAAAACATGTTAAATACAAAATCCACGTAGACATGCTTCTATCTTACAAAGTCACGTGAAAAGCATTTCATGATAATTTGTGCTCTAGGTGAACGCTCAGTGGGTTCATCTCCAAAGGGGAGCTAATAAGATACTATTCTTTTCAACTAACATTTAGAAATCTAGCTTGGTCCTGTGGGAAGTAGCATGCATCATTGGAGGTGCGGCATCCGGATATTATTGATCATTTTTTAGTATATGCTGATATATTTCTCGATCATCTTTCTTTTGTTGATGGAATTTTAACATTTGAATTCTAACAGCGGGAAAGTAAATAATTACTTGAAAGAAAGAGTGAGTTTTTATGGAGGGTGGTTTTAACACAATGTCATCTCTTCGGCCAAGGTCGAGGCCCGTGGCTGCTTTGTAACATTAATTTGGAGGAAATACGGGATCGCTCTAGTAAATTAGGATTTAATCGGAGACATATTTGGAGAGAATCTAGCAAAGAAGCATATGCAGAATATCTAAGTTCCTATTAGTAAAGATCTTTGATGATCTCTTGTACGGTGACTTGATTTCGTACTTGAAAGTGTACTTTTTGCATTCTTTTTAAATGAATGAAAACAGTTTAACAGTTCAAAAGGAAAATACTAGAAAGAAAGTCTGCTAGAACATTTGTGATGCTCTTAGAGTTACTCACTCCCATACATGTGCATCGGCTCACGCATGCAACACACGCATATGGAGCAAAAAGTCGATTTTTTGTAACCTACCCGTAGGTACTAGAGTGTGAATGCTATATGCTTACTCCTCTTTAAACCTGATAATAACTCTTCATAAAATCATATTTTTATTCACCAATTGAATCCAAATCATTTTATATTTTTTTTCTAAACTCAAATTCCTTGAATAGGATTAATCTTAATATTTATAAATTTCTCTAAGTTCTGGGAGTCCTAGATATGCACAATCCAAAGGGATTCATATCAGTACTCTGCTGATCCATTATGATTGGATGGTGACTTCTTTAGTGTAACTAGTTTCGCAAACCATGAGGTGCTATATTCTTGAAGTATGGTGTAGATTATGGAGGAGACTTTTTGAGAATACTGATTGAATGACTGCAAGTTTCACCATGTCCTTAGGAAGGCCAACTAGACCGTGTGTCTCTTTGGTAATTCGAGTGCCTGAACTGGTGATAACTGCCAGGGATCTTATCCCATTGACTCTAATAACTGTGCATTTACTTGAGTTGTGCTCTTAATATCTAATGTTTTTCGCTTGAGATCATCTTATATATACTCTCGTAACATTGGATGAAATAGTGCCCTTTTCATCATAAAAGGTAAAGGAAAAAGTTGTTTCTTTTTGAGCTAGTAAATTTTATTGGCCTTTTCCGGCAAGTTTGGAGAGAGTAACATATTACTAACCAATAAAAGTTCATATGAGAGAGTCTCGCCCACAGCGGTATTTAGTTGTGATTATTTGTTTATCACATGCAAAATGAACCAAAAATTGCTCGAGTGATCCTCTGTATGATGTTTCAGGCACAGTTCGTTTTTTACCAGTTCTAAAGCTTAAATTTTAAAATAAATGAAATGATGACTGGCATTATTAACCGCTGTCTAGCTGGTTTTCAGAATCTCCACAGTTATCATTATTGATGGGAATGTTTTCGACTTTATGTTATTTAAAGCATTGTGGACATTGTACTAGTTGATACCATTCTTTCTGTTCTAAAATATTTTAACTTTCTTAATACATCAATGTAGGTTTATGTTTTTCTATTTATGAATTTAGGCATGAGGCAGATCACAGATCTGAGGTGTGGGAGTAGGAGCCTGCAAGCACCACACTAAACTCACATAAATCAGTTTTTCTACTATTTCTTTCCTATCCTACTATCATATATACATATATACATGCATAGAATTCCATGACTGTTTGGGTGTGGAGAAATTCCTAGTCATAACACATGCATACATTTAAGAATGTATAATTGAAATATCTATTCATGGGTGGTCAATTTCCTTATTGACAGTAATTACGATAATGGATTGCAGAGCAAGTGGTTGGTATTCTCACTTTTTGGTGTTGCCGTTATTTGGAAACATGATGGAGAAGTGATGTGGGCTGCAATGGGTTCTGTCATTAACTCGATGATCTCCATGGCTTTAAAACGTCTACTAAACCAGCAGCGTCCTTCCTCTGCTTCACGTGTTGACCCTGGAATGCCATCTTCACATGCCCAATCCATTTCATTTATTACCAATTTTTGTGTTCTCTCATGTAGGTGTCTCTCTCTCTCTCTCATACACACACACACTCACTCACAAGAGTTCCTTAGGCCACATTTGGGCTTGCTAATAGTCATATCATAGAAATAGCCGTGCTTACCTTTACAAGCAATCGTGAAATCTTTTTTGGGAATGCAAGAAATCAGGTTTTTCTTTGCTCTCTCTCTTTTTTTTTTTTTGGTGTGGTGTTTAGTTTAATGGGCATGTTGGCATTTTGTAGATAAGTGAGGTTACAAAAAATAGGCTCTCTTGTGAATAGCAGTGGTAAATGGGTGGACTAATTGCAAGTGTTTCTAGAATTTATTGTGTCCAAATAGGGCTTTCATCTCTCATTTCCTGCTGCATTTTATTGCAAATTTATTTATTTGTTTATTTTTGTATAAGGATGAATTATCTGTTATTTTGAGAATCGATTAATAATTCAACATGTGATGCTCCATACGCCTAGGATGCTTGAGTATGTATAATGATACTTCTCACTATATATTGGATGTAATATGGAGACTATGATATGAGGTTAGTATGAGTTTAGTAATGTGTCGGACAGGGTACTCTTGTCCATATCCATGTCCTTGATTTTGATAAATGTTCTATCTTACAGAATCGCCCTACATAGGGGTCAATGCCACTCTGGAATCTTGCTTCTATCCTCCGGGGAAGGGTATCTCTCTTCCGCAATTTTTAAAAATTGGAATCTTAGTCCTTCCTATTAGAGATCGAGATCCTGTGTTACAGGGGATCCAGATAATCAAATATTATAGTATGGCAATGGAGTATAGTATAGCATTGTGGTATACTATAGCATTATGTAATATTAGTATAGTATATATTATGGGAAAGTATAGAATGAGACCATTTATCTTTGGTACAAGGTGGTCACATTAATCTTGACCATTGGATGTGAAATTGGGTGGCTGCAATTATTCCATTGGCAAATCTCAAACTTCAAAAGAAATTTTTCGAACTTTGTGACACATCCAAGCTATCAAATTTCACATCGGATGGTTGTAAGTAATTGTGACTACTTTGTATCAAAGATGAATGGTCTCATTGTATACAATCCCATATATTATATAGTTTTGTTTAGTAGATATAAATATAGCAGCATATGGCCTCAAGTTTTTACCTAATGGAGATCGTTCCCATATAATTTATCATTCATTCCTGATTTAGTTTGGATTGTGCTCTCCCACATATTGGGATTGAGATCCCTATATTGCGTGGACCACAATCCCTACCATGTGGAGCTTTCTACTTGCCATGACTGTGATCCCGATCTGATCCGATCCGGTCTTGGATCTGATCCCGATCCTGATCACAATAACTATGTGCTATGTCTTATCCTCAATTCTGGTATTTGTGTCATCAATACCTATGTAACTTCGAGTCCAGAAGTCCAATAATATTTTTTCCTTTTTCTCTTGATGTAACAAAACTAGTGATCTTTGTAATTTCAACTATTGATGGACATATTAAATTTGCAATTACTTCTGTACTGTATTTGTTTTCTATTCTTTTATTTTCTTTTTCAATCTTTGTTCTTGTCATGCATTTCATCAGAAGTCATCTTTGGTTTCGCTTATGGAAGTTTGACATGACCAAAATTGTCGTGTCTCATTTTCTTGGTGGTTGCTTTTTCTGAGTGTTCTGTGAATGATGCGAAGTAGTTTGTTATACTATTCATAAATCATGGGCTTTTGGATTCCATGTGCAGGATGGAATAGGTTTGTTTGATTTTTTATGTAACTCGGTATTCAGTGTTGCCTGGGCTGCAATGAGTATCAAAACTCTTTACATATGGTTCTTCCTGTTTAGATGAATATGTCATATGATTGGAACTAGCAGTCAGGTAAAAAAGTTTTAGGTGTTCATTTGTGCTTGTTCCATAAGTTTCCAGTGTAAATCCTCTAATTGTCTCTACAAAGAGAGAATTACTCAAAAACACTTTGGTTTACAATTAGCTGGAGTTATTGATGTCATGGAGACAATATAGTGGTTAATCTTGGTTGTTGCTTCCCTTTTTCTATGAAATTTACCTTAAAAATATATGAACGTCATGCGATAATCATTCTTGGACTTGAAATCAGCATAATCTGGGTTGTTGATTATGCCGTATTTTTTCTTTTGCTTTTTCAAGTCTCATGCTTAATGTTGTTTGAGAGGGACATTTGAATATAGGTAGGATACAGGGAATGCAATGAACTTGTATGAGCAAACATGCATAACGGGTTAAAATGTAACTTCAGATACGATCTGCATTGCGTCTGGAAATATTTGAACCAGGAGCTTCTTGATTTGTCTTCCATGCGATACATATAAGTTAAAATGCAAGAACCAGTAGGAATTGCATTCTTTTGACTTTTTCATTGTGCCATTAGGTTCAGAGTTACAGAACCTTGCAGTATGGAGACCAACCAACTTGTATTTGAAAGAAATGGGAGTGGGGCCAGTTGGCCTGGCCCAGCTCAGTCATCCGGGCCCTTAAAAACTAGTGCCTGGGCCACAGGGCTGGGCGAGGGCCAGCCTTCCCCGACCTTGTTTTTCCTTCTGTTTCTTTTTTTCTTCCTCACTTTGAATCGTCCAGACCAAGCCTCTTTGGCTTGTTCTGGGGTCGAGCCAGCCTTATAGAGACTAAGGCTGGGCTAGGGCCAGGGCTGATAAGACCTAGGCCCTGCCTATTGCGAGCCCTAAATGGGAGAATGAAGTCGTTTTATTTTGGCCTTGTAGTCTCTTGCAATATCCCTTGACAAAGCCATTCATTCGAGAGTGTTTGGGGGTGTTTTGATGCAAAGTAAAATCACCAAGTGGTAGTTGTTGCAGCTATGGAACACTGTACTGGACTACGGTCTCGAGGAGATGAAACTCCAGATTTTAGACCTTTTGAAGGGCCCTTTGTTGCCTTGAATAATAGGGATGGTGAAATAAGTCAAAATGACGGCTCGCTAAGTGCAACTTACTATGGCGATCTGTCAAATAAACAATTGGCACAATAACTGTCAGAGTACTATCGGAATCATCGGAACTGGGTATAGTGAGTGAAAATGGCCTTAAATCAAGCCCAAAGTTTACCTATCCTTTTCAAGATGGTGAGAGGAAACCCCCGGCTAAAGTTGACGAAAACCAAGCTAGTTGCATGCCCAATCTGGTGAGCGGACAATCCAGAAGAGAACATGGTCAAACCTTTGTTAAACCTGCTCAAAATTGTAATCCGAGGGTTTTGAACTTTAATCTAAGGCACATTGAGGTTGCCCTCCATGAATCAGGCCCATTCGATATCAGATGACCAAGATGTAGCCCTACAAAGTTGAAAGTACAGATTGAGTGCCCAAAACGTTCCTTAATTTACAAAAGAGCCCTATGAAATCTGAGGTCAAATGGTCCAAAACTTTAATGATGGAAATAAATTATGACAAAAGGTAAAAATTCAAAATTTTTGTTCAATTGGAGGTTGGATGACTTAGATTTGACTTTTTGTATCTCTTTCTCTAGGGTACAGATTTGCAATTTGCAAAAGGGCCCCAAGAAATATGTCATTGAATGTGCCAAAACTCTAAAGAAGAACAACATAATGGTCAAAAGCTTAAGTTTCAAATTGGGGTTCATTCGATATCGGGAAATGCGGCTTTTAAAGCAAAGTTTTATGGACCACCAAACTTTTGTGAAAAGTACATAGTGTTGGAGTGGTCTAGCAATGGGGAATCAGTTCCACCAACAATGAAGTTTTCTCCCTCTCAAAGACATGGTCATAAATCACAATCCCAATGGATAAGCACAAATTTTGATATGTTGTTATTCTGTCAATCCACTTTCCATTCATGTATATATCGATGTTGTTCTCAACATGGATCGTGGGTGGATCGTGGGTAGATCGAAGGAAAAAGTAAGTGGTTGAAAGTGGAATCATGTGTCGCAGGTCCACTCTCAGATCCATATCTCACAATCTGTGGGACACTTTGAGCTCAAATTTTGCAGGGAAGTTCCTCACTCAGTCCCGTTTATACCAATATAAGATGTCAAAGGTTTCCAAAACAATTTAGGAATCGGATTAATTTTGGGAGTTTTTGATCCAAATCACTTTTTAAATGTGGTAAATATGTTTCCTCACAAAATTTTGGTGGTTGATAATCGAACAATGGACAATAACAGCTAAATTTGCAAGAACTCAAAAGAAGCATGCGGTTTTCTTAAAAAGCTTGTTGCCAAATCCATAAAATAGTCGTAGTTCTCCTAATCTTTCGAGTTTTTTATTCAAATTTATCACCACATGATCATGGCAACTTTCTCCACAACATTCGAAAGAAAATTTGAATAAAACGGCTAAAAAATGCATCGACTTGGTGGGAAATGGATGGTGGCATCAGAAAGAGGCTTCTTGAGGACTTTTCATGATATGTCTCATGTTTTGACCTCACAAGATGGTCAATTTTCCGGTATCACGAGCCAGTGTTTGATTTCACTCATCTATGGGGCCCAACATTGATTTTCCACTTTGTTTCTTATGAATTTTATATAAACCCATAAACTGCCATTTGTGAGGGGTTGGATGGTTTAGAGAGATAAATGTAGAGTGAGAAACGTAGTGACCCAATCGTTCACCTACCCTAATGCTAGAATGAGAAACAAATCGAGGTCCAAATTACCCTACCAAAATACCCGATTTCAAAAATTACTCCAAGGACCAAAAATTACCAAAAAATCCCAAAATATTCCAAACTATGCCCTATTATGTGTCTGTGTGTGTGATTTTAGTTTTTGTGATTTATGTAACTTCAATTTAAAGGCAAATAAACTAGAGAAAGCACACAAGAAAGAACAAATTCCTCAATTTTATTCAAGTATGAAAGTACTTATAATTTGGTGGGTTCATTGTACTCCTAGATCAATGTAGCTAATCCTCTTAGACCAACGTCCCATGGATACCCTCGATACGAAAGGTTGTATCCACTAAAAATGCGTTTTTGAGTCTAGTTTCTAGTTGTTTTGCCGAGAATT